TGTACCCGGCCTTTGTTCCTCTCTTGATGTTTTCTCTTTCTCCTTCTTTTCTCTCTCTCTTTTTTGAGACAAGTTCCTCTCTGTTGCCTGGGCTAGAGGGCAGTGTTATGATCATAGCTCAGTGCAAACTCAAACTCCTGGGCTTAAGTGATCCTTCTGCCTCAGTATGAGTAGCTGGAACTATAGACACACACCACCACATCCAGCTAGTTTTTCTATTTTTTGTAGAGCCAGTGACTCACTCTTGTTCAGGCTGGTCTTGAACCTCTGGCCTTAAGCAGTTCTCCTGTCCCAGCCTCCCAAAGTGCTAGGATTACAGTCATGAACCACCATGACTAGCCTTTGCTGTCTTCTGTTTTTTGATGATTTTTGTAGTGGTTTGCTTTTATTCTTTTTTTCTTTATCTTTTGTATATGTATAATTGTTTTTTTTTCTTGTGGTTATTTTAAGGCTTAAATATGATAAGATAATTTAAAGTTAAAATAATCTATTTTAGTTGGTTGTCATGGTTTGCTGTGGACCCCAAACTGGATTGGGATTCAATGGGAAATGGAGGCTGGGGAAATCACAATACTCTACACCAGCTTAAAACACAGAGTCTGAGAATGCGTGGAGAAAGGTGTAAATTATTTCAAGCTGAGTGGAAGTGTGGGACAATGCAACAATTCTCTGGCTTTTATTTATTTTTTATTTTTTATTTTTTTGCAGTTTTTGGCCGGGGCTGGGTTTGAACCCGCCACCTCTGGCATATGGAGCCAGTGCCCTACTCCTTTGAGCCACAGGCGCCACCCAGCAATTCTCTGGCTTTTTCAGAAGGCTTTTATTGATTTTTAACATAGATACAAAGTGCAAAGATGCCAAAAGATAGGGTTAAAAGAATCCTAAGTCCCCAGGAGGATTGGATAGAGGTAAAGGCTGGGTAAATGGGAGCATAGGGTAGGGAGTTGTTAACCAACTAGCCCATAGCATATTTAGAAAGGGGGAGGAGAAAACCAGTTTCATCCCCATAGGGCAAACAAGCCAGTTCTCTAATTTAACTATTGACTAGGAGTTCAAAGGATTTACCTCTGCTTAAGGGCTTAGTCCCACCCCACCTGCTGACTTGGGGCACAGGGATAGTCCCCTCAGGGCTCCTTTCATTTTAGGTGCTCTTGATGAGCCCTCAGGGATGGCTTGTCTGCAGCTTTCCCCCATTGAGTTTTAGTGGTAGGGCCCTGTTGAGAAATCAACCTGTCTACCTCCCACGGTTGGTAATTTGATTGCATATAAATTTATACAGTGTTACTCCTTCATCTTGACACTTTATATTCTTGCAGTCAGAGTTTACTTTTTATGCTGTGTATTGGTTAATGAATTTTTTATCTTTTAAATTTTATATCAGGGTGAAAATAATTTTTAAACTACTGTTACAGTGTTGTATCATTCTGCATTTGTCCGTATACATTTACTTCTGAGATTTATACTTATGTGTTTATTTGCTGTTTAACATGTTTCAATTTGAAGATATCCTTTAAGCATCTTTTCTTTTCTTTTCTTTTTTTTTTTTTGAGATAGAGCCTCAAGCTATCCCCCTGGGTAGAGTGCTGTGGCATCACAGCTCACAGCAACCTCCAACTCCTGGGCTCAAGCGAGTCTCCTGCCTCATCCTCCCAAGTAGCTGGGCCCACAGGCGCCCGCCACAATGCCCAGCTGTTTTTTGGTTGCAGCCGTCATTGTTGTTTGGCAGGCCAGGGCTGGATTCGAACCCGTCACCTTAGATGTATGTGGCTGGCGCCTTAAGCCACTTGAGCCACATGTGCTGAGCCTAAGCATCTTTTCTAAGGAAGGTTGAGTGGTGATGGACTCCCTCAATTTTTGTATAGGAAAAAATTAATTTTTCCTTCATTTTTAAAAGACAATTTTTCAATTTTTCTATGTTTAGTATTCTCTGTTGGCTGTTTTCTAGGTCAGTACTTTGAATATGCCATCCCATTCTCTTAGCCTATACGGTTTCTACTGAGAAATCCACTGATAGTCTTATATGTGATGAGTCATTTTTCTCTGTTGCTTTCAAAATTCTCTTTGTCTTTGAGCAATTTAATTTTAATGTATTTTTGATATCTTTGTCAAAGATTAGTTGGTTGCATATGGGTTATTTAGAAGTGTGTGTTTTGATATCTAAATATTTAGGAATTGTCTTGATTTCATGTGGATGCAGAATATATCTGTAACATTTAATTCTTTGACATTTATTGAAAGTTGTATTATGACCCAGTATATAATTAATTTTTGTGTACATTTTTTACACTTGAAAAACATATATTCTCTAATTATTGAATATCATTTTGTCGGATCTTTTTTTTTGTTGTTGGGGAGGGGACAGGATCTCACCCTGTTACCTAGGCTGGGGTGTTGTGACATGAACATAACTCACTGCAGCCTTGTCTTCTGGGCGCCAGCATTCCTCCTGCCTCAGCCTCTCAAGTAGCTGGGACTGCTGCCACATGTCATCACACCCAGCTCACTTTTTAATTTTTTGTAGAGATGGGGTCTCACTATGTTATCCAAGCTGGTCTCAAACTCCTGGACTTAAGTGACCCTCTGCCTTAAACTCCCAAACTGGTGAGATTACAGGCTAGAACCACCATGCTCTCCTGTTGGGTAAATTTTAATTAAGTAGAGTAGTTAATGGAGGTGTTGAGGTCTCTTTACTGCAGTAATATTACTACATCTTATTTAATAGTTCCATCAGCTACTGAGAAAGGGTTGTTAAATCTCCAACTATGATACAGATTTGTGTACTTCTCTTTAATTCAGTCAGTTTTTACTTCATATGTTTTAAAGCTCTAAATTAAGTAGATGCTTGTTTACAGTAGTTGTGTATGCTTGATGCAGTGATATATAATTATGAAATGTACCTCTTTATTCTTATCTACTTTGTCTTATATTAATATAACCACTTGTGGTAGGCTGAATAGTGATTTTTCTCCACATGACAAAGATGTTCATATTCTTTTTTTTTTGGGCCAGGGCTGGGTTTGAACCCGCCACGTCTGGCATATGGGGCTGGTGCCCTACCGTTTTGAGCCACAGGCGCCACCCAAGGTGTTCATATTCTAATCCTTAGAACCTATAAATATGACACCTTATAAGACAAAATAAATTTTGTTGCTGTGATTAAGAGTTTTGAGATGGAGAGACTATGCTGGATTGTCCAGGTGGTTCCAGTGTAATCATGAGTGTCTTTATAAGAGGGAGGAAGTAGAGTCGAAGTCAGAAAAAGATGTGACAGCAAAAGCAGAGGTTGGAATGACCTATTTTAAAGGAGGAAGAAGAATCCCCAAACCACAGAATTTAGGCAGTCTCTAGAAGCTGTAAAAGTCAGGGAAATGGATTCTCCTTTGAGGTCTCCTAAAGGAAAATAGTTTGCTTTCTGTTTCTATGAATTTGATTACTTTAGCTACCTCATATAAGTGGGATCATGAAGCGTTTATCTTTCTGTGACTGGCTGATTTCATACAGCATAATGTCTTCAAAGTTCATCCATGTTGTAACATATGACAGGATTTCCTTTTTAAGGCTCCACGGTATGTGTAGACCACATTATTTAGATTACTTTCCTTTTAAGGGCAAAAAATATTTGTTCTCATAGACATTTAAATTACTGGCGGATCTATGCTATGTGAAGTCAATCTTTGTTTTATTTTTTGTTAGTGCTTCTGAGTTACCAGCACCTCTGCTCAGACTGTTCGGCCCTTGGCTCTTGGCCCAGTAGGAGGCCATCTTAGCTAGGATTTGCAGAGTGTTGTCACATGTCTGTGCAGTCCATCTCTCAGCTAGATATGTGGTTATTTCCCATACAGTCTCCTGGCACCTTTCTCTGTGCAGTTCTCTTGTCAGTTACCCTGCCCTGAAAATTCTAGGCACTTAGGAAACTCAAAACTCCAATCTCTGCCTCCGTAGCTGAGTGAGATTGCATTCTGTTTAGGATTCATTTTTCTGCTCTGTGCTAGAATGTGGCCCTAGGTTGGAAGTGAGGATGATCATAGCACTCACTTTTGTGTATTTGTTCTCCCAAAATCACAATGCTGCCTTTTGTGTGCCTGAAAACAGTTGCCTCATGTATTTTTTCATGTATAGTTTCTGCCTGGAGGACAAGTCTAATAACACTCTGTTATAGGTGGAAGCAGAAATACGTTAGTTTTTATAATATGCACTCCTGATTTCTCTTCTCTTTCTTCTATCTTTATATACCCTATCTTGGTAACCTAATCTATTCTTAAGAGTTTTAATTGTCTTTCTGTTTTCCTTAATTTAACTTTTCAATAACTTTTCACCTACCAGAAATAAATCACTAAGACTTTAACATGTATTTGTTTAACCTGTTCCCCTTTTTAGTTGTCTTTGCATATGAAAATAAGACAATAAGGAGGGAAATTTAATGGAATTTCTGACACCAAGAAAATAAAGATTGATTAGAGCACAGCTGGGACAATGTTTTGGGGAAGACATGGGTATGTCATATTCACAAAACATTTCTGGACAAGAGTTCATTTCTCTTGTGATTCTATGCACGTGTAGCTAGTAGTGTATTTCTTTATTGTCTATCACTACTCAGCAGGTTCAAAAAATGATTAAATCAGTCCTCTTTGCATATATGTATTTTTTCAGAAGGAAACAAAACAGAGAAAAAAAATCTGAGATGAATTCATAACTAGGAAACACTCTCATTCTAGTTTTCATAATCAAAATTTTTGGAGCTGAGAGCAATTTTTCCTTGCTCTACAGAATTATGTGAGATGGGAATTCAATTTAATACATATTCAATGAACATCTAGAGAATGTAGTGGGGCAAAAAATTAATAATTTAGAATACTAATTTCTATAGGCAGCCCCAGAATTTAAATCATTTCCTGAAAAATTGCTTCTGCTTTTGTCAAGTTTCCTGCTAGCAGTTTAGAGATTGGGTTGTTTCCTTGCTGATAACATGTCTCTTCACACTTTTATGACTTAACTCTGTCAACTGAGTGTGAAATATATTAGATAGAGATGACTGACAGTGCTATTTATTCCATGGTAGAGTTATCTCCTGCACCCCAAGCCCAGAATGACTACAGACTGCAGCAAAAAGGTGAGTTAACCAGATTACTAAGGAATACTATACATGGGGACGATAGGCTAAAGATGAATGGGGAGGAGAATGAGTTTGGAGTAGAGGGTGCAGGGAAATTGAGGATAATTTGAGGAAATATCTTGGTTCAGTTTAAAGTCTGAAGCTGGAATATGAAAATCTTGTATATGGTACTGAATCTGATCTTAGGTCTCAGGTAAATTCTTTTCTAATCATTCACTTCTAGAATCCCATCTAAGAAACCCAAGCTAGGGCAATACTGTTATTTTTTAATTACTCTTGACCTAAAGGAAGAACTTCATTGGGAGAATTTTATCTCTTTAGTTATGTTTGGAATAACTTTGAATCAGCTGTTTAAATCTAGGTATATCTGTTTTTTTGGACTATGAAATGAGGAGGACACCAATCATTTGGTTAATAGGTAATAGTAAGAGTTTGTCAAGATAGCAAGTGATTCATATAACTAGGTTTTTTTACTTTACGCAATGTTGCATCAGAATTATGACAGGTGAAAGAAAAGGTATGAAGAACATTATAGATAAGTACTCCCTGTGAGTGTTTGGGGATATGAGGGCAAACAAACCATTTTTTATATAGAACCCTGAGGGAATATTATCTGAGAGAGGCAGATAATAGTATATATGCCAAAATTAATATTTGATTTTATATCTTAGTAGTAAACTCATGGAAAGTATATTCTTTAGTGTAGCTCCATAAATTTTTTTCTTTTTGCTATATAGTCATATTATTACAGTTTTCAATGTTGTCCATTGATAGCATGGCCATAATATGCTAAATAATTCTAGTATATCTGAGCATTTAGATTTATTTGTATTACTATACATTACACAGAATTGCACATCTCTTTTTGTATACTTTTTCCTCCTTTTGGACTATACTTGTGCTAACTTCTGAGGAATATAAATATCAAGTCAAAAGGAAGGTATATTTTATTTTATTATTATTATTATTATTATTTTTTGGAGACAGAGCCTCAAGCTATCCCCCCTGGGTAGAGTGTTGTGGCATCACAGCT